CTAAAAAAAAAAAAAAAAAATGAACCTTATTTGAATAAATGAAGAAGTGAATAAGTTAAAGGAAAAACGAAAAAGGAAGAGAAAAATTAGTTGAAAAGAAAATAAAAAATAAAAAAAGAAAAATGTCACTGGTTGATAATTAAATTAGAATTGTGTAAGAGAAGTAAGATAGATTCTTTGAATAGAATAAAATAGGATAGAATGAAATGAATGAATTATGTCACATCATACCTTGCAACTTTTGTTTTTAAATGTTACAGATGCATAATAGATGACAAGTTAATAAAATATTTGTTATCTTTTGATGATAAAGCATTGATATATACGACAAAAAAGAAGAAAAAAAAAGTTTACGAGAAATTTACAAAATTTTACAAATTTAATAATTCAAAAATTAAAAATTTTACAAATTTTACAAATTTACACGTTTTCACGTAAATTGATTTTCTGAAAAATGAATCGAAATTGCTTGAAAATAGATTTTATACATTGAAAGTTTTTTGAAATTAACTTTTGTTTTCTTTTTTCTTTGGTAATTTTTCAATTTCATTTCTAGTAATATTCCAATGAAATTGCTAATTTCTGCTTAAGCGACTATTTATTCCATTGTCAAAATCGTTTATAAATCTTTTCCTGAAAATATTCATTGGTTTATCTTTCGATTATTTACAATGTTATAATATTTAATTTTGAATTTTTATTAATTTCATCAATTTTTCATTCTATCCTTAATATCATTCATTTAATACATATCATAATATTTTTCTAATATCATTCATTTAAGAGGTGTTATATTAGATAAAAATAAAAATTTTAAATACTTGCAAATAGCGCCTATTTTTGAAAATTTGAATTTCCATTAGAAATTATATTTTAAGATAGCTTTTGACAATATTTGATAACAGTCATCTCTTCGATACCTTTCTTTAACCGCCATTTCTTTTTTTTTTGTGGGCGATAAAAAAGGGGCGCAACTATTTGATCGTGTTGCAATAAATGGATTAATTGTTGGAAATGCGCTGTTGATACTAATAATGTCAATTTCCGCTCATACAATTGAATCCAATAAGGATAATTGCAATAGTAGTAATTATAATAATTATTATTACTGAGTAATTTGAAATTAATTTATAACAATGTCAATAATGTGATAGAAAAACCATTAACAGAATGGATGATAAATGCTGGTATGAAAAAATATTCTAAAAGTAAAAATTTCATTGAAACTTGAAATTACAAATGGAAGAGGAAAGAGAGAGAGAGAAAGGGAGAAAGTAAGAATGAGAAAGAAAGACAAATTTATAATAAGATGGATAAGATTCTAGGATAGATCGTATGCAAAATGAATGAGATTCTGGAACACACCAAACGTAGGATGGATAAGATCCGAATTAAACTAAATGTAGGATGGATAAGATTGCAGACTAAACAAATGTATGGTGGATAAGATCGCGGACAGACCAAATGTAAGATGGATAAGATCTGGACTAGATCAAGTATAGGATGCATACGATCCGGACTAGACCAAGTGTAGGATGGGTAAGATCCGGATTAAACCAAGTGTAGGATGGGTAAGATCGCAGACTAGACTGATGTAGGATTGGTAAGATTCCATGAAATTTAGCCGCAACTTGTTGTTGACAAATTTCAAAAGATATTAAATTTCTAATAAACTAACGAAATGTTTCGAGCAGTTTTGATACTTTTCAGATTTGAAAATGATAAATGGCAGAGAGCGCAAATGTAACATATTTTTCGCTCCCTACTATTTGTCAATGAACAGTATTTTATAGCTTTAGTCAAAATGTATGGAAAAATCCATGTAAGGATTTGTTTAAAGAGTTTAACGGAAACACAAGGACAGGATAGCAAGGACAAAAAGATGACTGTCAAAGGAAGGTTAATCATCTCACAATTTTGCATTCTTATTTTATACCTGATACGATTTAAATGAACATAAAGAGTGGGAAGAAAGAAAATAAATAAAATAAGTATATTAAACAACGCATTCTCCTTGCAAAAGAAGACTGAAAAAAAGAAGCAGGGAGAAAGAGAAAGAGAGAGAGAGGGAAAGAGAGAGAGAGAGATAATATATTATGATATTTGATTGTACCAAATTTTGCTGAATAATATCAAATAACGGAACATATTATTTCAAATTGCATTAAATGATTCATTTCTCATCAAATTTATTGCTATTTACTAGTGGGAAACACCGCTGACCTTTGACATCGGAGATGTGCGTAATTTGACTGAGACGCTCAATTTGCATATCGTGCCAGGCGGTAGATTTGAAATATTGTACGAGCGGGTTCGGGTGAGGTATGGCTCGAGGACTTGATGTCCACTCCTAGATAACTTACCATCTAGTGTCCATTTTTGAACAGTATGGCTAGAGTTTATATGTAGGAAACATTTAGAGCAATATTATGGTCAAGAAAGTATTCGTGAAATTTTCATTTCTTTATACATGTTGTTGAGAGCATTTTAATTAGATGAAGCTATTTGAAGCAAAAATTTACGTACAAAAATATTTCCTCTCAGCCTTTCATATCTCATAGCTCACTTTAACCTCGCATACTTTTTTCCCTTATACACCACATTTGCATTATAATTTTGCTTCATTTTAACGATAGTCACAATCTGAAGTAAATGCTTTATTTTGCTAGTAGAAAATTGATTTGCTGTCAGGAAGAGAAAAAAGACAGTAGAATAGGATGGCACAGGCAACTCAGCACTTCAAGCTTCTTATGTATATGAAAAAGCCGAAACCTTGGCGCAGAGTGACCGATAACGATGGGAATAAAATGAGCCATTGTGAAAAGACACGAAATGTTGGAAGGATTTGCAGGTATTATTGCATGGATTGTTATTATTATAACATTTTCATTTATTGCTTACGGTTTCGAATCCTAATTGAATTGTTGAAATGACAATAATTTTCACAGCTGAATAGAATGTCATTCCATATTTTTAACGTTCTATACAGATTTTTAATTTTATTTAGGCGACTAGTGATTAATCATAGCCCAAGTATTCCGATGAACTGTCATACACCACGAATCAGTAAAAAGAAATGCCATAAAAGAAAAGCTGAACCTCCGTTTTTGATAAGGAATTGTATCAGTGGAGTGTGTTGATTTTTTATAGCTATTCCTGAACATATTTTAAACAGAGAAATAAAGATTCATGAAAACTTTTGTCATTTAATAGACATGATCGTTTGTAATTAATTGCTATGTAAAATTTGTTTTACAACTGTAATGAAATTTAAATTTCTGGTGCTTTAATATATCATAGAGTCATTTTAGCATGAAAATTGGGGAAAGTATGTTCAAAGGATACAACATTGGACACAAAAACTGGAGCAAAGGGAACGAAATATTTCAGCCAATTCTTCCTCTTTAAATGATCAAAGTCAGATGTCTTACAATGGTAATCAAGTAGAAAATGTGCCGATTTTTACATCCTTACCGGTTACTAGTGCTGCTTTACTACGTTCATTTTATACCATTTGGCATATTGGACGCATATCAAGGAAATCGTTGAAAACAAGTGAAGAGGTCATTTTCCCTACCGTTTCTTGAAATTACTTCAAATTAGACTCGTTAAATTACATGAGAAATCCATATGACAGTCTACTCACGATTAAGTATTTAAAGGGCAGACGGAAGTGAGCCATCAGAAGATGATGTTGCTGTTTAATTAACGAATACTTGTGATCTTCCTGTATAATTTCCTGGATGTTAATTTCCGGAAATAAGCAGCTTTTTTTGGGTAGTCCTTACCTCTTTTATGCATATTTATTTAGTCGTTCAGCGGAATATTTTCTAGTTTGGTTCATCTTTTTTCCTGTTGTAAAGGGTGTAAAGGCTGGATAACACCGAGTTATGTTATTAGGCAAGGCTCAAATTGCTGCATGTTTTGATTATGTTCAAAGTATATTTTGATTATCTTCAAAGTTTCCAGACGAACGCAGCCTTGAAAAAACTTTCGGTTTCACCAACAGTCGAAAAATGTTTACAAAACCCACCAAAAGGTGGTATTACTGCTGAATTGATCACTGACAGATCGCAGCTATCGAAACGAGCATTACATACTCTGAGTCGATGGGCGCGAATGACTGAAGATGTGGTGCAAGATGGCTACGAATCTGGATACGATGATGATCCTGTCGAGGTTGTATTTAGCATTTTCATTATAATCATAACTATAATCAGGATCATGGCTTTGATAATTTAGTGGAGAAGTGGTAATTTTTAATGATTTGTGCTGGACACAAATCAATGATATGTATCTTAGCCCATCAAAATGACAATTGAAATGAATTTCATCGCTACAATAAAATAAAAATCACTATCGAGCTTCACCCATTTACGGAAAGAAAAAGTTACTTATTTCGACAACCATTTCCATCGGAAAATACATTGATTTAACTATGTCTTTTTTATTGTCCTCTAAAAATTAATTTTTATTTTAGATTTGGAATCGTGCGATAACTCTTGCTGAGGCATCGTCATACACGGAAAGCGAATTAAATAATGTCACTAAAACTACAATTGATGCAGCTTCTTTTTCTACGAGTACTGATAAAGTAACACCAAGAAGACGATCTAACAGAGTGTTTAAATCTATCAATTTAAAAGATTAACCAGTTAAATGGCGTTCTTCAATGGCGAACTTGTATTTTTTTTTCCAGATCTCTTGATCTCATTTCAATGGGTAATTTCATCGGATAGTTAGGAAAATAGGTCAGGAAAATAAACGGTCAGGATTGCAAATTCGCATTCGTTTTCCAGATTCTTATCAAATTAAGGTTTCGAATGAAAAAAGAGAGAAGGAAAATGAGATTCGTATCAAAAAGTGAAAAATAAAAGTTGTAACTGAAGTGAATTATCTGATATGGATGTTTTAATTGTTTCTCTTTCTTTTTTGTTATTTTTGCCAGTAATCAATATCTCTTGTCTTCAATTTCGTGCATGAAATTCAAAAGCTAGAGATTGTAAAAACGTTTAAAATAAGGTCAAAGCTAGTGATACTAGGTTAGAAGACAATCATCATTTTAGGGCAAGGTCAAATCACTTATTGACTAGATTTGGATACTTGTTTAGCAACTCTTTTCGTATTTTCCTCTTCACGCAATATTTTTATTTTTGATTCATTTCAAATATTTGTTATTATGTTTACATATTTTTCACACTGCATTTGTATCATATTGTATGACTGATAAAAGTGGTATGAATCATATCATTTGTCACATGTTGTGCCAATAAACGCACTTTCGTTTTCCGGACATAATTACATGGCATACATAACGATCTACTTGAAATATACATAAACACTGATACACTTTGAAGTAGTTAAATGAGGTATAAGAGTAAAATAATCGGGAAAGCTAACAAATTAAAAAAAAGTGGTTACTTGATTGTCGATTTTCCGGATTATGAAGTAGGGGATATTGGAATTCTTAGGAATTCTTAGAAGATGGAATGATTCGCTCGTAATTGGGAACCATATGGGAAACCAAAAAAAAAAGGAAAGACATTTCGAGATAACATTCAATAGTACAAACCACTAACAGCAATTAGAATTACCAGTTACATATTTTCATAATCATTCGATTCATAATACATTCTTAAGGTCACATTATGATAAGTTTTCTAAAACCGAAAAAGCAGATTCATGTTACAAAATAAATTTCCACTATATGAAGTGTAAAAATATTCCATGCTATTTTTACGGTTTTTTTCCTGTTCCGGAAGTCAACTTCTAGCATTGTTCTATCAAATTTTAAAACGTAAAAGGTAAGAAGATTTTATGGATTGATAACAACTGAAATTTTGCAACAATTCAGGAAGGACGAGCAAGGAAATCGGTTTTTTTTTTGAAATACAAAAGCTAAGAAAAAATTTAGACTTTAAAATTTTTAGGGAAACTGAAATTTGAAACAATTCAGGAGGAACGAGGAAGGAATTCGTTTTTTTTCCTAAGAGATCAACTGACTTTCTAACATTGCTCTAGCAAATTTTGAAATATAAAAAAGTGGGAAGAATTGTAGGATTTAAGATTTCAAGAAAAATTGAAGTTTGAAATAATTCAGGAAGAATCAAGAAGAAATCCGGTAATCAGGATGGAACGGACGAGTTATTCATATTTTAATTCCCGCGCATAATGAAAATATATTTACCACAATTTGGAATGGATTTTAACAAAATATATTTACCGTAATTTGGAATGGATTCCCATGAATCCTAAATTTAGGCTAGCTATTGTACGTGTGGTGCGTCAATTTTTATCTTTGCGCCATTCATAACTGGTTGATTTCACGTTACGAGATTTGGTTCGGTTGTTTCAGCATCCCGGTATTTCTCGGAGAACTTGTAAGATTTTACCAGGATAGAGTATTTGCCACCAGAGGATTCTTAGAACATTTATGAGATGCTGTAACAATAGCTCACAGAGAATTTGCGCAGCTTTCTTGATTGAAATTCTTGGGAAACGGTATTGTCTTCAAGAATGAAAACGGTATTAACAATTTTCTTCCAGGATTCCAGGGAATAGTTGGTTAATTGCGCAAAAAAAAAAGAAAAGAAAAAAAGATGGTTGTTATTTCGTTACCAACGACAATCGAAGATTTTGAGGGTGAAATAAGTCATGTGGTAGTAGCTGGGAATGAAACTCTAACATTCATTAAACCATCCCAATGGCAAGAAGAAAGAAAAAAGATCTCTCTTAAATTGCGCAGTTTGGCGCAATCATTAAAGAAATTCAAATCATTATCGGCGGTAAAATCTGGTAAATTCTTATCTTATAATTATTGGGAAATTTATTTAGGGTTAAAATTAAATGAAAATTCAAATGAAAAAAAAGGCGAAAATATTGCAATAATTAATGAATTTGAGTTACAAATATATCATAAGATACAGTGTATCATCTGTCACATATCTCGAGGTTAGGTCGTGGCGCAGTGAAATTTCATAACATTTCAACAATGGAATAAAGCAATAGTGTCAAATAAATTCGACTTGGCTGGTTTTATTATCTCATCGTGATCTATAGCGGACTTTTTTTTTTATTTAACCGTCCTTTTAAATCAAATATAGGTGAATAGAGTGTTGGGAGATTGATGAAAGCTTATTGACCGTATTTGGGTTTGGCCGGGATTGCATTGTATTACAAAGTTGGATAAGTATAATGGAATCTGCAAAGTTTCCTTTCCTGTTCGAGCAGCAAGACATTGTTTTCATTTCCAGAATATCATGTATATTGGTGTAGAGGACGATAAAATGTTACGCACCTTTCAGGTGAAGTCTATATCGCAAATGTAAAAGGCTCACTGGAACGATCATATATTATTCGAAGACCAGTGCCTGATACATACTCCGTAAATTTGTCTGAACTTTGAAATTATGAAGGTCACAGATTGCACACATGTACAATTTTGCTTGATGCATTATTGGTGTGCATGTATTTCGTGCAAGTTAATAATGCCTGTGTGCATGTATTTTATATAAAGTTAAGGAATATAAAGCCTCATGCTTGCATGAGAAATACTAATTAACATTACTAATCTGTAATTGACTTCACTTACGTGAATTTCATAGATTTATCTCATTGACAAAGGCATGCAGTGCGAAGCACAATTCGATGATATTTACGAATTTCCTCCGGAATTACTGGATTTCGCATTATTCAGTTGCGTTTGTCCGGTCTTCGTACCATCCGCTGAACAACTTAATACCTATAAAGCTTTCATAGGACACAAATGCAAGTGCGAAGTGGGTAAGTGCTATAACGCATGATTGATTTGGATGATATTTGCGGATTGTTTTCCAAGAATGCCCTAATGCTGCCGAATTTTTCGTCACAAATTATATGTAAGAAAAATTTAGATGTTGTAATGACTTAATTGTGAATGTATAAGCATAGACAGAGTATAAGAAAAAAACAAGCGAACTACGACGCTATACCGCGTTTGTCTGGCGAGAACTAGGTGAAGTTGAATCAGTGGTTAAAGATTTGACGACGCTGTGGAAGTTTTCCGAGAAGCTGATGCATAGCTTCTGTTATCGGCATGATGAAACACGTTGGTATTGGGAGCTGGTCGTTGACAGGAGATAATTTTGATCATTTTGCGTTGACATTACTAATTCAATTGGGTTTGAATATTTCATTTCCAGAAACTATATCGAAGTCGTTCGTTGTGTTGGGATATGTCCGTGGTCGATTGTTGGTCGAAAATGGTGACACTTATGAAGATTTACAAGACATTGTTTATGGAAGGCTGGTAAATGGGCTGCGTAGTTCCGGTAAAGCGAAAAAGATTATCATTTCTTCGCCTATCGTGTATTACAGTGTAGTGCAGTGTTGAAGCTATTGTTTCATGAGTTTTGACCTTTGAGATCATGAAAAGAAAGTTCAGCTTGAAATTCGTTGTTTATAGATTACTTCTTTCGGATTCTGATTAATTCATGAATCAGTTATCTCTCTGTATTCATTCGGAAAATATTGATCGGTGTCTATTTGAAGATAAAGGATCCATTAGATGCAACATGCCAGCTAAGGTAGCCGAAGCAGATACAGTTTCGTGGACAGCCACTGGACAAATAGAAGACAGTTCCAGTAGCGAACTAACTTACCGTTGCTCTTCCACGGAAAAAGTGAACGAAAAAATTTTTTCCGGATTCTTTTGATTTAAATAGATTTTCAATATGTGCCGGAAAAAATTAGCTGAATTTTTCTGTCTAGCATTATTTCGGACCTCGTTTATGACCATTGGTTGCGTTAAAATTTTCAAATTGTTTTGTCTGGGCAATCAAATGCACCGTTAATCCAAACGGATAGAAAAAAAAAAAACTTCAGGTTGTGCAAGGAACACCAAACGTTGGCTGTACTTCGAACAGAAGAAGTTCTACCGCGTCAAAAAAGATCAAATACGGCCAGCAGCACGGTAGTGTTCTTTGTTTTTACCGCATGTTCTGTCCGTTGATTTGCAATATTAAACTGATTTGCAATTTTTGCAATTCTTTTATTAGTTAACTGAAATGTACTCATTGATACAGGCCGTGTGACACGATCTTTTATTTAAATTTATTTAGTTCAAGTTTTTGCGACTTTGGAAGTTTTCTGAAAGTTAAATTTAGGCACAAATTGGGCTTTTGTAGAATTTTAAAATTTATTTTGTTTCAGGCAGTCATATGGATGCTGAATTAGGTCCTGAATATGACATGGTAAAGGTGAAGATTTTTAAAAATCCGGATATTTAAAATGCTACTCTCTTTTCTACATACGTTGCTACTATGTCTGTTTCATCAGGCTCAAGCACTATTCACACAAACAGCGTTCGAGCAGTACAAACCTGACGTGATTCCAACGATAATAAGTGTACGCTTCGATAAGAAAGATCGAGGATTGGGCAGATTTTGGGTTGTCAACAAGAGCATATTTACGACAGTTGAACGGGTGTGTTGTTCACGGATTTCTTTAAGAAACATTTGATCTCGCATTATCTATTTTACTGACATTTTGTCCTTTCTAATCTGTAATGTGGGAAAGCAGTAGGCTACAAACACAGTCCAGTATTTCCTAAAGTTTAATTCTATTTTCTCAATGATTGATGAAATTATTTATATGAAGAGGTATAGTGAATCATTGCTGTTATATAAAGTAAAAGACAATAGATTTGAGCAATTTTTGACTGCAGTGGTTACTAACGGTGTACTGGTTACTAAGGTTGTTTTCAGGTATTGAAGGAAAACGCCAAAAAGATAACAGGGTTCCCACTGCTACGTCAAAGATTAGATGAGGATGTTCCGTTAAGAGCAATACCTTGTGTTGTACGTACCCGAGCTGAAAGTGCTTACAAAGCCTTCTACCGTGCAGTTCCTTCTCGATATGACACACGTACAAAGAGGTATTTGATGCAGGAAATTTAAATGGCTAATCCGCTTGTAAGTTGGTTTTTCCACTGGTGAGACCAAGAAGGTGATTTTTCGTTAGATTCATTTTTTAATTTTATTTTAGATTTTCAATTTTCCTGGTAGATTTTGGTTGGTTCAAATGGGTGCTGGCTAACGATGTCATCGATATATCCACCATGGATATGGTTCGCACCTTTAGTTTTGGTAGATAAAGTATTACAAAATTCCAGATGGGTAACTAGCAATCATTTATTACATTCCGTCCTATGATTTTCACTGCTAGAATATTCTATAGTCACGATGTAGATGTTTTTTTCTGTTTTTTCCACGATGTTTTTTTTTATTGGGTACTATAATTCACCTTGTTGAAGTCTAATCCAATTCGGAAGCTGCAAGTGGCAATGATACATTGTCAGGAAGATGTTACCAGTGCACTACATGCTAAGGTATGTTTCTGGATGGCGTTTTAAAGTGAATTCGATCTTGGTAAGATCAGTCCTGTCGAATTTTTAATACTCTAGCTTTAAAACTGAGAAGGTTGTGCTGAATTATCAGTCAGTCTTGCGAGATTTTACATGTTTTCATTGCAGGATCTTTCGAAGGGAGAAAACTGCTACATGAAAGTGAAGGGATCCCTGATTCAAGATGTATATTTAGTTGATTTACTGAAAGCTCACAGCACTATGAACGATCTTCTGACTGGTATGGTAAATTTTTTTTCCCGAGAAGTAATTTATTTATTTTTTACACTGCTAATTTTAGTGTTTAAGAAAGGATCTTACAGGCAGCATGGAAGAGACTGGAGAGGTTTCGGCAAGCAAGTTGATTAATGAAACCTGTGAGCGACAGCTAATGGCATCAATGATGTTGGGAACGTTGAACACTGCAAATCGTGATTTGGCACAATCCCAACACATCTGGTGCCTCTACAGTTTTTTTGTATCATGCGTATCATATAGTATTTATGACATCATAAACTATCCTGCTGTGCGAAGATAAGTACCTGTAACTGGATAGAATTCTTAATTTTATTCCTTTGTTGTTTTCATGAATTCAGTTTTTAAAGCCGAATTTCTTGCTCATTAATTCAGGCCGCATTGTTGCCCTCCACAGTTTTCGATGATGATGCCGGTAGCCTTGCCAATGATTCCAGTGCCAGTTCCAAACACAAATTTACCGGCTGTTGGAAATGAACAGATCCCGAGGCTTCAAAATTTACAAACAAGGAGTAGTGAAAACACCCATGTTCCTCAAAGTAATGCTATGGACTCAGCATGTTCCCGAAATTATATCCATCCAAGGTGGAACTAATTTACGTAACTTTCTCGATTGTTATCTTTTGGATGTTTTCACGCTGATCTACCACTGCTGTTGCCGAATTTACTTTATCGTATTCTAATTAAATTGGCTACCAGCTTGGATAATGACACTATAGTGATTTACTACGCATTTTATGTTCATGATCCGGCTTATCTGACTTGTGGACTGATGTACTTCTCCGGTGCATTCCTGCTGAAGTTTTCACTTGCAGGTTCCAGGGCAGTAATTTGCAAAATATGCAGAGAGAATGGTATGGCAGCGACTTGCAGGGAAGAAATAGAATCGGTTTTACGTCAGCTGACAGGGCAGGAAATTCCTTTGATGAAGGTAATTTGTGATTGTTCCGTAGACTGGTCACTCGACTAAGTTATCTCTTGTTCAACAGTTTCATAACAAAAAATTGGAAAAAAAATATTTTCGGAGTGGAAATATTTTATTTAACAGATTCAGAGAAGATTTGCTCGAGGAAGAGCTAGCATATTTGAAGAAATTTACTAGAAATTTCTAGGTAATGGTGGTTTATCTTGGGAGCAGGCATCCAAATTTGCAAAGGATCACCGCATGTTACGAAACAGTAAGAGCCATTCAGACTCGTTTATTAGAATTCTTAAAAACCCAGAAAATGTCTGAAATGCTTACCTTTGGCGTGCTATCACTTATCGTTTTTGCCAGGATTGGCATGCAGAGGTTTAAGCGATTTTGACAATATTTACGATTAAGTCCACATGATTCAAATCAAAGGCAGTGTTATAGCAATCTTGTTATGCAAAAGAAATTCTGTAGCAGAGTTGATTATTGTTTTTGCAGATCTCAATAATAATTCGCAAAGAGTGAGACTGACAAGTTGGGAAAAGGTAAGAATTTATTTTCTCTCTATTATTACGATTGAACTGATTAGTAGCTGGTAGCTTTTACAAACCTGATTTTATTTAATTTTGCTGGACTATTATGAAATTTGTTTGGCTATTGGTAAATTACATAATTTTTTGGCATATGTTATACACCACGGTATCTCATGTACTTTGTTAGAAACGTATGAGAATTTCTATTTTAGCAATGTTTCTAATGTACAGAGCATTTTAATTTTAGGCCGTTGCTGCAGACCGTGCATTTCGAACACAGAGATTTACTGCCGGAGAACAAGCAGCCTTCCATGTGGATGATGAATTGAATCGACTTACATAAATTGTATATATGTGTTCTTCACATAAGTATTTACTAAAAGCTCCAACAAAATTCCGAATGTTTCTTAAAAAGGAATCTGAAGATTAAATCAAAATGAACACGATTAGAAAATTATCTTCTATTTTCTGTGTTTTCTTATGGATATTTGTTACACGTTATTTGTTTTTTCGTGATTTTCTAAGCTTAAGTTTCTTCTTTTTGCTAAGCATTCATAACCGTTGATGTTTTTAATGCATCCCTGATTATTTTAAATGTTGGAGAATATGCACATCTCACTCCGTCTCTCTGTAAGCTATTGTTATTGTTTTCTTTTGTCGGGTGATTGGTACTAAATAGTTTGCAAATTTCAAGATGTATAATACGAGTTTTAATGAAAGCTTCTGGTTAATGTTCCGAATTCAAACCGTATTGTTCAATAAAAGATATGTTGGAAATGATATATGGCATTACTGTTTCATTTATGACATTAAAAATTAACTTCGCTGACAATCTCTTTCCTGAATTGTTTAGTTTTATTCATTGTGGAGTGTTATTGTCTGCGATGAGTTTGGATTTTGTTGCATTTTTAATTTCAGTTAAGCAGTGGATTTTAGGAATACTCAGATTATCTCTCTCATTTATTAATAATACTGATAATGATCAATAGCAACTAATAATAGGATATAAGAACGATGTTTGGTATTTAGATAGATACTATACGAGTACCAAATATTTATGTTTACCTTTCGTTTAGCATAGATTAAAATAAAGCATTAGTAAAGATTGATATGTTTATCTACAACTAAAATGTTTAAAATTGATATATTTATCTACTACTGGAGTGCAATTAGACAATTAATGACTAGGTTATCTAGTGTAAAATTTGATATTATGATGAGAACATTGATGACTTCGATATTTTACATGTTATTTACTTCTTCCAAATAATATCTTCCCAGCAATAAACAAATACAACATTAAAGGGTGGATACGGTATACTTGGGAATGTTAATATCCTTCATTGCATTCCAATAGCAGACTAACATATCAGTTTCATAATGTGATAACAACGAGTTCCAGAATAGGTGATGTTAGTTCCTCTCCAAGCTACTAATGTATTTTAAGAAATTATTGGTTCAGTTCAATACAAATTTATCAAGGGAGTAATATTTATTTATGATATTTTCTATAAATAAGCAATAATTGCAGTTTATATTTCATTTCCAATGTTTCGATCGTAATTCGATACTTATTAAATTTAATAAATGATAAATGATAGATAATTAATATTGAGTGAAACTATATGGTTCAAAAATTTATATCGTCTCATCTTCTTTCAATCACTTTTTTGGTTCATTATTCCAAAGAAATCGTTTCATTTTCAGATTTATAACAACGCATAAATTCTTTCAAATGATATGGTATTTTGGAAACGATTAAATTGGCGTTTTATCCGAAATTTTGGTTACTTCTACTGTGCATCATATACTGTTGGTCGTCACATCGGTGAATTAGTGATATGCTCCGGACCATCGATGCATCCAACAATACAGGATGGTGATCTGGTAAGTATTAAATCCGCAATAAGTTATGACTAGACAAAACCAAGAAGAAGAAGAGTATAAATAGATTGTCAGAGTTCACTCTATCCCTCATCCATCGGTTGATTATGGTTGATTTGCTAAGTTTGCTAAGAATTTGAGTAAATTTGTTGGCTGGTGAATTGAAATGTAATTTTTCCGATTGTTTTTGAATGGCCAAATTTCCAACTGTTTGTTCTCTTTTAAAGATAACAATCCAAAATTTCATATCTCTTATAAATCTTTTAATTTTCTACCGTCTTATCCTTTTTTTCCGCATTTTTATGTTTAATGTGCCTTAATATCATGATTATTCATATCTGCACCTCACCCCATTTAATAATGGATTGTCATTCCTGATTAGATGCTAATTTGATAATGAAATCCCGGAATTCCAGGTGATTGCTGAGCGACTTAGTGTTAATCTGCGTAACTTACATCGTGGCGATATTGTCGGCGCTTTGGCACCCCATGATTCAAGTGAAATGCTTTGCAAACGCCTAACAGCTAAGGAGCACGACATAGTGACAAATTGCTATTTGTTACCGAATGGGAAGATTCCACGGGGGCATGTATACTTGGAAGGTGATAATACAGTGGCTTCTACTGACTCTCGGGTTTTTGGTCCAGTACCGGCCGGCCTTGTACAGGTTCGTCTTATACTCAGGATATGGCCGTTGTCAAGGGCTGGATGGATATCGACACACTGGTTCTGGGAGAAACCAAACGAGTAACTGATGTGATTGTTTAGGTTTTTTTGAGACCTTTAGAAAAATCTGATTATATAAATTTTCTTTCTCGAAATTTCTGATTATATAGATTTTCTTTTTCTTTTTCTTTTTTTTTTTGGACACGCTATGAGATGCTTTTTCATGCTTACAATTATATTGATTGACTAGCAAGTAAAGCGAACTGGGGACGTGTTCATTTTATATTTTTGTTAAGTCTTTTGTAAAAGAATTCGAAAAAATTAGAAGTGATTGACATGACAGTGTAGGCATTTGTACGTACCAGTAATGTAATGCTATATTGTTTTTGCTAGAGTCATTCACAAGTTACATGTATACAAAAGACATATCTGATTGCTATTTCAATAAATACATGAAGAGTATATTGGATGTTTACAGAATAATATGTGTTCAGTTCCTTCTCTTGCGAAAACATGCCACTTCTCAATCTTATACTGTAATTACTTTAATAGTCACATTGTAGTAATACTCAAGATTAACATTAACATCGGGAGGAAGAAGAGAGATTGGAAGGAATGGATATGTTAACTCGAATTAAGAACAACTCATTGTAGGAAGGAGTGGAAGGAAGCCAATCAGGGGAGAGGTAAATACAACAGTGCAACTAAGCCGGTTAGCAGGGCAATAATTATCCATCGACTGTTTAGAATCACAAGTTTTGCATTGTGTTCTAATTTATTATGTTATCACCATGGTGGCGGGCCGCGTGTAGTACTGGTGGAAGTAACGCGTTGGGACGGGAGTTACTACTTCAGGTATGTTTTAATCCGAATATTATCTTTCTACTTGAATATTCTTGATTCTTATGTATCTTACGTTTTTTACGTGAAACGGTGATTTTGCCATGATCGTAAATGATGTCATGTCTCTGTCTTTTAGAGAGATAGTTGAAGGGAAAACGAAGTTACTTTCTTGTTTTCACTTTATTTTTTGCTCTTACTTTTTTCGTATTATCGTATTATTTGCTGGTAAAGTTACCTTGATAATGGTTAAACGTTGTATTTATCGTTAAGATCAAATCCAAGATAGTGTCTCCACCAGATTGATCATTCTTTTAGAAACTTTCCTACATTGCTTATTCACTTCGTTATTATAATTGTTGACGGGAAAACTTTGTTGATTTTATTGCAACGGATTATTATTATTATTATTATTATTATTATTATTATTATTATTATTATTATTATTATTATTATTATTATTATTATTATTATTATTATTATTATTATTATTATTATTATTATTATTATTATTATTATTATTATTATTATTATTATTATTATTATTATTATTA